CAACTATTCTGTCTTTTAAAACATGTTTCTTTCTTTTCATATCCAGAGAAATATTCTGCCTTTTCAATATTTCCTAGGATATTTCATTTTTCTGGCAGAGGGCTGGGTGATGATTTCCTACAATACTATATGTGAAATAGTAATTACAGTTTAAAATAAATTATGCTTTTGCTATATGACAATGAAAAACAATTGAGGGCTTGATCTTTTTGTTCAGCAATATCTATTTTCAAATATATATTTATAGTTATATGTTCACAAAATAAAAAACTAATAAGAGATTTTTTTCATTTTGAAGATATAAACTAGATATAGAACAAACTTGATTTTTCATTTTGTTGGATAATTCACTACGAACAACGTGATCTAGCTCTATAGAAAGAGAATTTTAAAGTCTAGGAATAGCAACTGCAATTCCAGCCAATTGCCATGCAGTTAGAATATCTAAGGCAGTAGTCCTCAACCTTTCTGGCTCTGTGGCCCAGTGGTGCTGGCAGGGGTGGAAGGGATGGTTTCGTATGCATGCCCAGAATTGGAGCTTCGCAAACTCTTGCTCAGATCAGTCCCCCACAGGTTATGGACTAGTACTGGTCCATGGACCAGAGGTTGGGGACCCCTGATCTAAGGGATCTAAGTATATGGATGGCTAGTATGTAAGATATACTAGAGTCATGTTTAGTGTTTCAAGTCATTTAGGATTTCAAGGTTACTGACCAGTCCTTTATATGAAGTAAAAAAAATGGTGCAACCACCAGTGAAATTGTTTTAATTAATGAAATACATACTTCTGATAACTACAAGTAGCATATTTTTTGGAGTATAAGATACACCCTTTCCCCCCCAAAAGAGGGTAAAAATCTGGGTGCATCTTATACATTGAATACAGCATTTTTGGCCTACCGAAAATGGACGTGCAAAGGGTTTGGGAGGCCTGCAAAGTGCTCCTGGGGACTGGGGAGGGCAGAAACAGGTGAAAAATGGGCTTTTTTTTACTCATTTTTGGGGGGGCAGCCCCCAGGAGTACTTTGCAGGCCTCTCAAACTCTTTGCATGCCCCATTTTCCACAAAAATGAGGCATGCAGAGGGTTTGGGAGGTCTGCAGAGTGCAAAAACTTTTTAAAAAAATTTACCTCTTCAAAATCTTGGTGCGTCTTATACTCCGGTGCATTTTATACTCCGAAAAATATGGTAGTCCTCTATTTAAACCACATTTGAGCCCAAGATTTATTTTGATAATTGAGATAATTGTTAAATGAATTTTGCTCCTTTTCTTGTCACAGTTGTTTAGTGAATCATTATAGTTTTTAAATTAGTAAATAGTTGTTAAGTAAACCTGGCTTCCTCATTGATTTTGTTTTGTCAGAATATCGCAAAAGGTGATCATACAACTCCCCCCCCCCCAAGACACTGCCACCATTATAAATATGAGTCAGTTGCCAAGTGTCTGAATTTTGATCACATGACCATGGCGATGCTATAAAGGTCATAAGTGTGAAAAATTGTTGTAAGTCACTTTTTTCAGTAATGTTATAACTTTGAACAGTCACTAAATGAATTTTTGTAAGTTGAGAACTGCCTGTACTTTTTCCATCAGTCCAGCTGCAGCTTTGCAGACTAGTTGACACATAAAAGTCATTACTAATTAATTTAATTTTTAAATCTGTTTTTTGTATTCTGTTTGTCTTGTTTGTTTGCTTTGTATTGTCCCCCCTCCCTATTTTGGTTTGTTAGCCGCCCTGAGTCCCCTTGGGAATAGGGCGGCATACAAGTTTAATAAACAGTTAAACAGTTAAACAGTTACTATAATAGTTGCATAGAGATGTTCATATAAGTTACAGTTGCTTAATCTATGCAAACAGATGCCACTGGCTCACCAATCAAACTTGGGAAAGATTCCTAATTTTAATCAATTTTTGAATACTCAAGTTCATTGCATGATAAGGAGATCCTATGGACTGAAAATTTCGGAAGGGGTAATTACCCTAAGAGAAGATTCCTATAAAAGGCACAAAAAAGATAGGTTTATAAATATACAGCTAATTTTCTAGGGCTATTTGCAGGATTTCCCCCCCTATGTTGTGACATATGTTGTTATTCTGCAACATTTGGCATGTTTCTTTGTTATTATGATTTCTTTGTCAGGGTTCCAAGTAACACCCCTAATGAAAGATGACTCTGAGGCTTGAGTTTCCTCAAAGTTCCACTTTAATAGAGATGTCATATTGGCACATCTGGGAAACCCCAAATTTGAAAACTTCCAGGTTTTCCCCACCCCCCAAAAAAGTTTAAGTTCCTGCCTAGCACCCACATGTCCTATGATTCAGCATGGCAGTGGAAGTTTGGACCATATGATGGACTTGTAGATGTGGGGACAAGTTCTTGAACTTTCAACTGGGTGGGGAAAATCGGGAAGCTTTCAGATTCGGGTTTTCCCAGATGCGCCAACATGACTCTCTTAATAAATTGGAACTTTGAGAAATATTTTGCCTTGGACTCTGATTTACTTTTGGATTTTATTTGGAACCCTGACACTTATTTTTATTCCGGTATTACTGAAGACTGGCCTGATTTCTCTCCCATTCCTTCTACATGCTCAATTTTGCCAACCACTGTGGGAAAGTTTTTTTTTTCTTGTAATAGTAATTAGTTCCATGACTTGTTGAACTTTTGTTTCATCATTCAGTATGTACCCATTAGTTGGGAAAATTGATTAATTTTTTTGAGAGAGTTCTGTATAATGACAAAGTTTGCCTCTGTAAACTTCTGTAAATGCTGTGTCTACTGGAGAGGCAATGTAATTTTTCATTTACTCAAAGGTTACTAATTTGTTAAATGGAGTTTCAAAAGTCAAGTGTTCTTTTGAATAAAAAAATCTGCTCATTTTATTATCTTCTTCAGTACGGATCAGTGGTGACAGGGAGGTACACAAATAACTTCCTTTTTCAGTACGGATCAGTGATGACAGGGAGGTACACAAATAACTCTGGTGTTTTTATCAGAGCCTGCTGCAAAGTCATTAATTTAATGGTTTATTGAACCTATGAATTTATTATAAACATTGCCATTGGTATGAGGATTCCATAATGAAGATAAAATTACAAATAACTGTCTTCACTTCACTGAAGTCAGGTAAGATTTTCAGCATGTGGAACCATATAGAGATTGGGGTAGGCTCATACGTCCATGCCTTTTATTGCT